TCTGAGGGGCGTAGGCGGACAAGATGTGTAGGCGCTGCCTCTCGGTCACTACGACGATTATCATCATTATCACCTTCATTTTTTACTATTTTTCAGATATGCCCTATAAATTCCTTGGCAAATTGCTTTTTTTTTTCTAAATATATTAATAAGACAAAAATAAATAGTAAAATGAAATAAGTTTTCTTATTATTTGGTTTTTCGAAGCATTGTCTTTCCAGCTTTTTTTCTGCTTTTGCCAAAATAAAACCTATATTTCATATTTTTTCTCCTTTTTCAATCAAATCATTCTCTAAACAAACTTGCCACTTCTTCCTCCTCCCCCTTCTTCTTTGGCTGTCTTTTTTTTTTTTGAGAGAGAAAAAGTAAACTCTTAAGAAATAACATTGATATTACTTGAATGGATGAGTAATTAAATTTTTACTGATAGTTCTGATATAAGTTAATAGAATATTCTGCTGTTTTAATCTATCTTTTACATCAGCATTGAAGTTTAGAAATAAAAGTATATTTGCAAATAAAACTTGTGTTCAATTTAACTATATACTATTCTGTAGATCCCTCTGTTATTTAATAGCACAAGCCAACAGTTTCATACAAATATTAAAAAGCGAAGACACCCTTGTCAGGTTAGGGCTAATAGTCAAGTCTAAAAAAAAATTCTGATATGTAAGTGAATTAAGTGTATATTCTTTTTAGTTTGATGCATCAAACACCAAGAGTCTATTAAATTCAGTTCTTCTGAATAAATATTGTTTCCCTCATTAATAATTGTTTTTTCATGCTAGCATATTTCTATGAAGCTTGAGAACCAATATTTCGCTAAACTCTTTTTCTTTTATCACTTATCATTAATACACTTATTTAAATATTGAGAACATTCATATAACATAATAAGGGAATCCAGATTAGATCCATAAACATTAAGCATAGCTATTACAGTCTCTGCAATATTAGCACATAAAATTAAATAAGGCCATTTACATCAGTAATAATTGTATAGCAGATAACAGATAATCAGAGTTGGAAGCAACCTTGTAGGTCATCTAGTCCAACCCCCCATCCAAGCGGGAGACCCTACACCATTTCTGGCAAATCGCAGTCCAGTCTCTTCTTGAAAGTCTCAAGTGATGGCATCAATTTGGAATTGCTTTAAAACCAAAATGACTACACTTTTAGCTTATGTGAGATAAACCTGTCTTACCAATCCTTTATTAACATACATGTATCCATTTGCATTAAATGAGTCTTCTGTAGATAAGCAATATCTGCTTTTAATTACTTTATATATGCTAATATGTGTCTGAATTCTCACAAGTTTTTACATTAAGATCAACTTCATCCATAAATTTTATTTTGGTCCATTTATCAATATTCTCCTGATGTTTAAATATTTAGCATATTTCCTAGTGTTTCTCACAGACAGAGTCCCAATTTAATATTTAAATATTACATATATAATGTATTTGTTTTTTAAAAAAACCATGATATTGGCATAAAAATTTAAAAACAAGATTGGAAAAAGTTCTAAAATTGTGTGTGTGTCTGTGTCTGTGTGTGTGTGTGTGAAAAGAATGAACCCTAACCTTTTCTTTTGACTATAGGAACAATAGTTGCTGTCATCTAAGTATCTAATACTTCAGATTTCTCAAATGCTAAAGATGTGACAGATCATCAATTATATTATACAAAGGAATAGAATAGAATAGAATAGAATAGAATAGAATAGAATAGAATAGAATAGAATAGAATAGAATAGAATATTCTGAATTTCAGAATTGGAAGAGTCCAACCCTCTGCTCAAGCAGGAGACCTTATACCATTCCAGACAAATGGCTGTACAGTCTCTTTTTCCTGACCCATTAGAACGAGGAGACAGGGAATACGCTTGATGGTACCCAGAAGAAGGGTCTTCTCCCTGGTGGCTCCCTCTCTATGGAATATCATTCCCCCAAAGATTAGAATGGTCCCCCTCTAGCACTCTTCTAAAAGGCACTAAAGACCTGGTTTTCACAGCGGGCCTGGGGAGCCCAGAGAGGGTGGAGCCCATCAAATGGCTAGTGTGATCTGCTGTTGTCGGGGTGGGGGGGTGGGAGTTGTTTTTTAATTTTTCTTAAAAAAAAATTTCTAAATTTTGTTCTATTGTACTTTACTAATGTGTTTGATACTTTTTGTTAGTTTTTATTGTTTTTTATTTTTTATTTTTTTTGTTTTAAATATGGTTTACATTGTGTAAGCCGCCTCGAGTTGCCATGGGTGAATAGGTGGCAATATAAATTAAATAAACAAATGTTCTCGCTGTTAGGAAATTTCTCCTTAATTTTAGATTGCTTCTCTCCTTGATTAGTTTCTGTCCATCGTTTATTGTCTTTCATTCTGGTGCTTTCAAAAATAGGTTGACCCTCTTTTCTTTGTGGCAGCTGCTCAGTTATTGGAACATTGCTATCATGTCACCCCTAGTCCTTTTTTCATTATACTAGAGATACCCATTTCTGCAACTGTTCATGTTTTAGCTTCCTTCATATATTTTAGCCTCCATAACAATGTTAAGTTTTGTTTTGTATTATATGTGTTATATTAATATATATATCCTACTGTATATTTCTGTAAATCTCAAGTCTTGCGTTTCACAGTTTCCTGATGGAATGAAATTTTGAGGAGATATGAAAATAGGAATTGAATAACTATCTTCTGGTTTATTGGTTGCTTTCTCTTCAACATATTTAAAGAAATCTTTTTGATTATTCTCAACATCTAACTAACATCAGCTCATTTTGAACTTTGTTTTTATGACATCTCCATATTGTTTAGGCTCTGTGTGTGTGTGTGTGTGGTATTCAGTTTTGTTCAGGTATTTTCCTACGTCGTTATAGTTGTGGGCTTTTAAAGTTGTAGCAACGTTTCGGCAGAATCTCATCTGCCATCATCAGGCTTCTGTATAGTGTTCGTCTGTGAGTCAGGCTTTCACAGCCGTTTCAGTTTTAAATTTGGGGCTAGCCTACTGCTGTGCCAGAATGGTTTTTTCTTCATCCTGATTGGTTGGGAGTCTTGGACTGTGTTTATTGGTCTTGGAGTTTACTGTGTTCTGCTTGATTGGTGTTTCTAATATCTTCTGTCTGTTTTGTAGCTTTTTTTGTCTTGATTGGCTGGCAACATTGTGTTTCCTGTATTGGAGGCTTTTAGTGCGGCTTGGCTTTGGGTAAACGGACGGCTATCATTTATTCGGAAGCTAGGTTTCATCTGGGTGCCTGGTTGGGGTGTGTTTGAGCTGGAGGTATCGGGGGGGGGTCTGTTTGTGCCCAGGTGTTTGCTTGGCTTGTGGTGTGGAGATTTTTTTGTTTGTGAGTGCAGGCTTCCAGATATTTGACAGTCTGGTGGAGTCATCTCTTCTGTTCATTCTTTCAGGTCTTTTTTCAATCTCTATGGCTTCTCTGATGATTGTGTAGCTGGGGTTTGCTATAGTGGCTAGGGTTTTGGTGCCATTGAAGTCGATGCTATGACCTGTGGCTTTCATGTGTTGGACTAGTGAGGAAGTGTGTTCCAGCTTTTTTACTGCATTTTTGTGTTCATCCAGGTGGGTACTTATTCTTCTATTGATCTCTCCAATGTATGTGGCAGGGCATGATGCGCAGGGGACTTCATATTTAAATTTAAAACAGAAATGGCTGTGAAAGCCTGACTCACAGACGAACACAATACACAAGCCTGATGATGGCAGATGAGATTCTGCCGAAACACATTGCTAAACTTTAAAAGCACAACTACAATGACGTGGGAAAATACCTGAACAAAGCTGAATGCCATATATATATATATTTGTTTTCTGAGGTTCTCACGGGTATTTGTATGTGGATCTTTGGTTGTTCGGGTTTTCTCCCGCGTAAGATTCGAGGTATCTAGGCAACGTTTCGATGAAGTCTCATTCATCATCTTCAGGCTTCATTCATCATCTTCAGAGTGAGAAGCACAGAGCCAAAGACAGAAGCCTGAAGATGATGAATGAGACTTCATCGAAACGTTGCCTAGATACCTCGAATCTAACGCGGGAGAAAACCCGAACAACCAAAGATAGATAGATGATAGATAGATAGATAGATAGATAGATAGATAGATAGATAGATAGATAGATAGATTTGTGACCTGTCCTCTTTCCATTGTTTTATATATATCCTTTCTAGGTTTCAGATCTTCATTAAATTTTTTAATGTAATCACATTGTTTCTTCAACCATTGTCCATTTTTCTCCCTTGTTGGAATTTTTTTTGTACACATACAGTTAGTCCTAGACTTACAACAATTCATTTAGTGACCATTCAAAGTTATAACAGCGCTGAAAAAAATGACCATTTTTCACGTTTATGACCATTGCAGCATTCCCATGGTCATGGGATCAACATTCGGACACTTGGTAACTGACTCATGTTTATGAAGATCGCAATGTCCCATGGTCATGTGATCACCTTTTGTGACCCTTCTGACAAGCAAAATCAATCGGGAAGCCTGATTCACTTAACAGTCATGCTACTAAGTTAACAGCTGCAATGTTTCATTTAACGCTATAGCAAAAAAAGTTATAAAATCGGGTAAAACTCATTTAAATGTCTCAGTAACACAAATTTTGGGCTCAATTGTGGTTGTAAGTCACCGGCCACCTGTAATCCTCAAGTTATAGATGGTCATTTAATACTGTTTGAATTACAATTGCCTCATAAAATGGTGCTTTACAACGTGTGAATCACTTCTGGCTATTATAAAATGTTGCCCATGCATTCCCATGATCATGTGATCTCAATCTTAGTGCTTATCAACCTGTTTGCAGTTATATGGGGTTGTCAAGCACCATGCAAACATGTGATTACTATTTGCAATCTTCTCTGCTGGGTTCCTCAGAAAGTCATTGAATTGCAAATGGAGACGTGGGTACTCTATCTTTCATCTTCATTTTTAAGTGCTTTGGTTTTGTTGTATTGCGAACAGTTGCTGGGGTGCATCCACAGTTTTGTTGTACTTGTACAATGACAATAAAGTTCTACTAATTCTAAGTTAGCAGGGAAAGTTGCATACTGGTTACACATGCTGAGAGAGCTCCCTCTCATTCTATCTGAAAGAGCTGCCTGTTAAAGATGGAAACTGCGGTCCTTTTGCAGGCAGCTCTGTCAGATAGCCACCAGAGATGAGAGAGAGCCGAAATCCAAGTAGAGAGCAGGAGGCAGCACAATAAGGAGTGTGGAGTGCCTCAGTGGGTGGGAGGGACCTTGGGAGCACAGGAGTGTTTTCTGTTTTTCAAGAGCTGAAAATCATGTTGACATTCCTATAAGTGTGGATTTTCAGCTGCTGTGTGGAGCATGCCAGGGTTTTCCCTGCCTTTTTACATTGTAAGATTTTACTGAAATTGAATTTCTTAGGATATAAACAGTTTTTGAAAATATAGCAATGATTATGTTTGTTTTCCAGGCAGATTTTAAACTGATGTGTGACAATGCAATGACTTACAACAGACCAGATACCGTGTATTACAAACTGGCTAAAAAGATTCTCCATGCTGGCTTTAAGATGATGAGCAAAGTAAGACAACTACAACAGAGAACATATTGGGACCAAAAATATAGATTAACCTTTCTAGAGGATCACAGTATAACATTATTTTATACTTCCAATTTAGATTTAGTTTCAAAACGGAGATTCAGGTGAACCGGTATGTCAATGCAGCATGTGTCTACCTGACTTAATAACAACAATTGCTGATATGCTGCATTCATACTTCCACATGCTCTTAAACATTTAACTTTACTTTAAATAAAGTACTCTGCTGTTGATTAAATATTTATCGCTCTAAAGGGCAGACTGTGTCTTTATAAAATAAAACTGGAAATTTAAGGACATTGAATTTCCTCTTAGTGTTGGTTTCTCAGACTGCTTGGTTTACTAAAGGTCTTATTGGCATTTCCATTATACATCTCTTTTAAAGTGAATACTACTCTTTAAGATTTGTTTTATCAAGATAAAAATTTTAAATTGAAGCTTTCACTGAAGAAATAAGCACCGTCTTATTTAAATAAATTTGGAACTATTCTAGAATATTAAGCATTTTGCTATTTTTATTTTTCTATCCAATAAAATATTGGAAGAAATGCATACATACTCTTTATTTTAACACTGTTTGACTATATATTTAATGAATTCCTAAATAAAATACCTATTCTTCCACCTACTGAATAGTATAATGTAAATGTTTATATAAAATGAGTGAAACATGGATTTGTGTAACACGTACTTACTATATAATACTATTTTTCAAAATTATAAAAAAAATGACTTTCAAACTGAACAATTGATTATCTTGTATGAAGATTGTGTACAGGTAGGTGGCCATTTGTATGTATGGTTTCCCTTCTAAAATAGGTTGCAGGTGTTCCGGTGACATGCTGCTCATGATTGAATCACCTTGCATCCTCATTGAAGATGTAGTTCTTAGGTGCAAAGCCATGGCCATTCCCATCCCATCCCATCATCATAGCATCTTCGCTATGAGGGAAAGGTGTAAAGTCCCTGCTGCTCTGTCCTTTCTAATTCTAGGAACGGCTGTTAGCTTTGAAGCGCAGCATGTCGTTTATGCAGGACATGGATTTTTCTCAGCAGGCAGCTCTTTTGGGCGATGAAGATCCAGCTGTTGAAGATCCAGTGCCCGAAGTTGTTCCTGTGCATGTAGAGACTACCAAGAAATCCAAAAAGCCAAGTAAAGAAGTTATTAGGTAAATGTTGGAGGAAGTGTCTTGCTCCTTTGTGCCTTTATTTGCAGATAACATCCCTATTTTTTGAATGAATTAATTAAACCATTAGTTTATAACTTTGACATACTAGACACAATATATAATTATTTTTCAAGTAATGTAGGTACCTTGGGCATCTTGAAAAGAATCGTTATGCATCCCAGAAGTTATTTCTAGAGTTTCAATCAGTATAGGGGGCATTTGATAAATATTTTGAAAATGAGCTGGAAGACAAGAGCAAGAATATTCTTTCCATTCATTGTAAGTTTTCCACATGAGCCAGAAAAAAAGTTGTAAGGACTGTTTTAATTTTAATAAGTACTTCTTAAATCAGCACATCTCTTTGGAGGATAGAAATGAAAAAAGAGAGATTGTTTTAATGAATAGCAGCATGACATGTTCATTTTTATGCAAGAACTAAAACAGTTATTCAAAATTATTTTTAAAATGAGGAGTCTTGGTGCTCTGTGAACTTGCTTGTTTTCTTGCAGATGTTTCATTACCCTAGATAACACCATCAGTAAGGACTGTTGTTTGCTGTCAGTTTATATTCTAATGGCTTGCCCTGTCAGTGTTGGTAAGAGAGATCTTAAGGGATTCTTTGGTTGGGCTGTTTGCTGTTAGCTTCTTTGGCAATTTCTTGATTGGGGTATTGTTTACTTGATTGCTGATCTGCACAGTTCTGTGTAGGTTCACTCCATCTGAGGTTGGTTCCAATTGGTGTTGGTAGGGAGCAGGAGCTTTTGGTCCAGGGATGGGATTCTACCAGTTCACTTCTATTCGGTAGTTAACATTCTAAGCAGTTTGGATAACCGGTTGTTAGAAGAAATTACTGGTCTAATCCTGTAATGAAGGCAGGAAGGAAACATTCCAGTGTTGCTTACAGAAGCTGCCTCTCCGTTAACCCTTATTACATTCTTGGCAGGATTAGACTTCCTGTCTTAGGAACGTCTCTGGAGTTTTTTTCCCTCCTTTGCTGGTACTTTGCTTGTGTGGAGTGATCGTTCAAAGTTACAATGGCACTGAAAAAAGTGACTTATGACCATTTTTCACACTTACAACTGTTGCAGCATCCCCACAGTCATGAGAGGCCAGGTGAGGAGATGCATGCCTCGATGTGAGTGACATTGAGTTGGCCACACCCAGCCAATAACATGACCACCAAGCCATGTCCACCCAGTCACATGACCACCAAGCCATGCCCACCACCTAAGCCACGCCCACAGGACCAGTTGTTAAAAATTTGAATCCCACCCCTGTTTTGGTCCCTGCTTTGTGGGATCCCTTAGGGCTTGCGGCTGTCTCCACTCCTTTTTAACATTTACATGAAACCAACAGGTGAGATCATTTGTCACTAGGGATGAGGTATCACAGTAAGCGGATGATATCCAGTTACATATCTTCATCCCAGATGAAGTGAGTGAAACTGTGGATATCCTTGAAAAATATCCAGAATATTCCGCTTGTATAAAATGTGGTTGCACAGCAAATTTTAGGCACCCAGAGAAGAGTGCATTTAACCCCTGCTTTGCAAGCAGCATTGGGTGCCAGTTTGCTTCCTCTGATGTTTCCTCTCTTCCCCAACCTATGAAATATTCTTGCTCTGAAAGTGAGGCAGGCTTTCACTCTTCTGCCTTCCAAAAAGGAATTTAAAACATGGTTATTGGGCCTCATATGGGGAGCCCAGGGGAGCAGGCAGCCAGGAGACTAATTGCCTGGAAACCCTTTCTTCATCTTCATCTAGCTAATTTAATCCCTTGCCTCCTCTTAACATTTTAAACTTTTATACATACTATTTTATATTTTAACATTTTATTGCTTAAAGTCTGTCTTTGAAGGAGATGAATAGTTAAGAAATTTAAAAAATAAAGAAAAATAAAATAAAAACCAGTGAAGTATCCTATCTAATTAGATCCATTGGATAGCATACATAAGTTCAATGTTAAAACCTGTTGTTTGATATATGCATTACATACTTTCAAAGATCTAGAGCATTAGGGAACGACCAGAGGACTGGGAAAATGTTGATGTAGTTCCCATTTTCAAAAAAGGAAAACAAAAATAGATCCAGGAAACTACACACCTATCAGCTTGACCTCAATACCTGGGAAGATTCTGGAAAACATAAGCAACAAATCAGCGAACACCTAGAGCCAAACAAAGTCATAACCAAAAGCCAAAATTGGTTTGTCAAAAACATATCATGCCGGACAAATCTTAATGCATTCTTTGACAAAGTGACAAAATTAGTTAACTTGAGGAATGATGTGAATATGATTTACTTGGACTTCAATAAGGCATTTGATAAAGTAGACCACAACCTACTATTAGATAAGATAGAAAAATTAGACTGAGTTAGACTGTAGATAGTATCACCACCAGATGGATTTGTAACTGGCTGACCAACCGCAGTCAATGTGTCGTCCTCAATGAGACTGCATTTACATGGAGGGAAGTATGCAGTGGGGTCCCCAAGGCTTTGTTTTAGGCTCAGTACTCTTCAACATCTTAATCAATGATTTGACAAGGGGATAGATGGGAAACTCATCAAATTTGCAGACGACACCAAGCTGGCAGGAATAGCCAACACCAGAAGATAGGCTTAAAATACATTAGGATTTTGACAAATTTGAACATTGGGCACTATCTAACAAAGTGAAATTCAATGGTGAAAAAAGTAAGATTCTATATTTGGGCAAGAAAAACCAAATGCACAGGTATAATACAGGTGGTACCTGGCTCAATAGTAGTAACTGTAAGAGGAATCTTGGAGTCCTAGTGCAGTGTGCTGCAGCTGCCAAAATAGCCAACACAGTTCTAGGCTGAATTAACAGAGGGATAGAATCAGAGATGGGCTGCAGTTTTGTAAAACACAGTTTCAAACAGGCAGCTAATTGACTCAGGCAGCTCCAGTGAATACAGCAGGGCAGCTCAGAACTCGCCTGGGTGGGGGGAAAGTCATTTAGGGAAAGCATAGAACAAGGGCGAGTGAGCAGGCCCAGCCAGAGATCACAGCTAGGGGCTCGCCAGTACCTCGCCGACCATCCAGCAGTCCACTGGATAGAATCAAAATCACTTGAAGTGTTAATACCACTTTGTAATACCTTGGTAAGATCACACTTGAAATACTGTGACCAGTTTTGGTCAACACAATGTAAAAAAGATGTTGAGATTCTAGAAAGAATGCAGAGAAGAGTACCAAAGATAATTAGGGGACTGGAGGCTAAAACTTATAAAGAACATTTGCTGGAATTGGGTATGTCTAGTTTAATAAAAAGAAGGACTAGGGGTAACATGATAGCAGTGTTCCAATATGTCAGGGTTTGCCACAAAGAAGAGGGAGTCAAGCTATTCTCCAAAGCACCTGAAGGGACGACAAGAAGCAATGGATGGAAATTAATCAAAGAGAAAAGCAACCTAGAACTAAGGAGAAATTTCCTGACAGAACAATTAATCAGCGGAACAACTTGCCTCCAGAAGTTGTGAATGCTCCAACACTGGAAGTTATTAAGAAGAGATTGGATTACCATTTATCTGAAATGGTATAGAGATTTCTGTCTGAGTGGTGAGTTGGACTAGATCTCCCTTCCAATTCTATTATTCTGTTATTTCTTCCACTGTCAAATTTCTTATCAATATTTGACTTTTCTCTTTATTGATCTGGTAACTTGACACTGAACCATAAGCAATTTAAATACAATGTCATTAGCAAATGCTAAATTTTAATTTGTATTCTTTTATGGTTTATTTTCTTGAAATTTTGCTCTCTTAGCATAGCTATTAGGCTATGGTTCTCATGCCAGTAAAGATAGGAGATCATCCTTGTCCCCTTTGATATAATATATTGCTTTAAAATAAGAACCTTTACTATAATTTTGGCTGCTTATTTTTTTTATAAATGTTATATGTTATAAGAGAATTGTCCATATCTTTTTTTTTCAAAACTGCAAATATAAAAGCCTAAACACTGTCAGAATTTTGGTTAGCATCAAGAAATATGGCCAATTTTTAATTTTTCTGATTATATATAATAATATATTTCTTTGAGATAAATCCATCTAGTCAAAATGTATTATTTCAGCTAAAAGCCACCTAGACTCACTTTGGATAGTTGCACAAATATCATAATAATAAATAAATGACTATTTAGACTCAGCAAAAATTGTTGAAAAAGCTTATAATCCACAATCAGTAAAGCAATAAGTCTATGGTTCAGAATGGGTTACATCTTTTCCTTCCTTTATAAATCAAACAGATGAAGGCTTCTTTCCATGACATATAAGACTCATTGTAATTGTATCTCATTAATTAAATTTAACAATTTCTTGAAAAAAGTAATTTATAGAAATACTGTCAGGCTTAATTCAATGTCACTTTTTGATTGACTCTGTGTTCTGTTGTAAGTTAATTAAGAATTTCTTTTTGTTGTTCCGGTTTGAAGGGCTTCGGCAACAGACAGGAATCCGCGATCTTGCATGGTTTCTGTCTGGGCTGGCCGCTGGAGCGCCCCAAGCCGGCTGGTTTCAGGGCTAAGCCACCCCGTAGAGGTGGTGAAGAGGGGGGAGACTGCCAGCTGCATCTCTCCTCCTCAGCTGGCCATTACTCCCTTTCCCGAAGGCGGTAGGAGCAGTGGTCAGAAATGGCCACCACAAAGAAGAACTCAACCGGAAAAGAACGTGCAGGAGGAAGATAAGAAGTGAAAGTTTTGGCTAACCGGGTTAAGTTGAAAAAGCAACAACTAAGGTGCCTGGAATTTAAATTTTACAAAAATAACATCACTCCCAAAGAAGAGTCGGAAGCAGCGAAAGAAAGTGAAAAGGGAAAGGTTTGGCTTTTTTCTCTCTCTCTCTCCTTCCCTATATTGACAACTAGAAGACTTAAGTAAGAAATCGAAAAAATCCGCTTTGGCATCAATAGGCAATTAAGTTGAAAATAAAACAAAATTCCAAAGGGACAATAAAGATTTCCGGACATTAAAAACTTTTTCTTCTATAAGCAGGAAAGGAGAAAAAGAATAAGGGCAGGATCTGGAAGAGGGAGGAGACTGCCTGGACTTTAAAAGAATCTAAAGTAAAACTTCAATAAGACTTCTAAAAGATACATTTTAAGTGAAACTTTGCAACTAAATAGTAACTCCAGGAAGAGAAAGTGAGGAAAAGAAAGAAAGAGCAAAAAAGAAACCGCTTGCATGTATTTGGATTATTTGGTGACTTTTGGATTTTTGGTTATTATATTTGAATGACTACAATCAATTGGGTGGTTGTTTAAAAATTTATACAATAGCATCACTTCTGGATGAATTGAAAATGGAACTTAAAAAGTACAAAGAAGATGCACAAGAAGGGAAGGGTTCTTTTGGCTTCGTTTTTCAATTCTTAGAAATGGAGATCTGGAACTATGAGAAACAACAAGAAAAGACTGCAAAACAAGAAGACTGGGACAAAGAAGAAGCCATCTTTAATGAACAAGTAACTCTATGTGGGGAAAGAAAAGGAAAGCGGGGAAAGAGAATGGAGAATTTAAGACTTAAAAAAAAAACCAAAGAAAAGAAAAATAATTCAAAAAATAAGTATACTAGAAAGCAACAGAAAAGGGGAATACAGAAGAGGGAAATAGAGGTAGAGAGACAAAGGGTAAAAAGGGGAGAGAGAAGAAGAGAGGGAAGAAGGAAAGGAAAAGAAGTTATATAAAGAAACAGGACCTATTTAGAGATAATGGGAGAAAATCTAACCCGAAAAAGGGATTCTGTAAAGGTACATAAGATTGTATTGTTATATTTGTAATAGAAATAACTTTAGAAAATTGGAAACAACGTATGATTAGAATGAGGGGTAAAATAGTGTAATTTAGTGAAATGTTTGTGAATAAAATTAATGAAATAAAAGAAAAGAAAATTGAATTAGGAAGGAACGGGAACATTTTAATTAGTCAATGTTTTATAAAATATGTGAAGGGGGGAATTAACTATGGAAAGTTCATAATTGTTCCCATAGAAGTATGATATTTAATTGAAAAGCAACATGAAAAATATTAAGACTTTAATGAATATTAATATTAATGATAGAATTGAATTGGAATGGAATGTTGTTTTAATTATATACATTTATAATTTTTTTCTTTTTTTTCAAGAATACAGTGTGTAGTTTAAGAATGTACCAAGCAGAATCCGAAGTTATGTATTATATTGAGTGTTACAACTTTAAGGGAAAGATATAAAGGCGTCATACTCCAATCAGTAACTACAGGAGAAATTTTGTTTAATGAGAAAAGATAATAGACAATTGAAACAGGACAGACAAAAAATATAAATATAATGATTTGAATTGAGATGAAATAAATAAAATAAAATGGAGAAAATTAAAAGAGGGGAGAAGCTATGTAGAAAATGTAAAATAGTAATAAGATATGGAATAGAATATAAAAATGAGCATGAACCTGAATTTGCGTCTGTACGAAGAAATGTAACCCGGGATTATGCTGCTTTCAAATAAAATGTTTTATTTGTATTTCTTTTCTTTTTGTGAAAACTCAAATAAAATTTACAAAAAAAAAAAGATTTTTTTTGTTGAGCCATATTTCATTCAAATTTCCTTCAATTTCTATTGAATTAGATTCTTGTTTATAATATAAGTTCATTATAGAAACATGTTTATCATTGTCTCAAGTGTAAGTGTTTATTCTTTTTTGTTATTGATGTTGTTCTTTACTCACTAGATGGGATAACTGTCGTCAGGGTGGGGGGAGTTGGTTTTTGTTTTGGTTTGGTTTGGTTTTTTTGTTTTCCCAAATTTTGTTCTATTGTACTTTACTAATTTATTTGATTCTTTTTGTTAGTTCTTATTGTTTTTATTTTTATTTTTAAATATGATTTTACATCATGTAAGCCGCCTTGAGTTGCCATCGGCGAATAGGTGGCAATATAAATCAAATAAATAAATAACTATTTGGCTTATTACATTTTAAAAATATTTATGCTAGATGAAGTTATTTTTGGTTCACTGCCAGTCAGTTCCTTATTGCTGTATCTTTTACTTGAAATCTAAAATTGGATTGATTTAATCTAGGTTTAGTTCTAATTGTTAAAATTATTCAGTAATATATCTTTCTGCCTTTGCATAACTTTGTTTTATTCAGAAATAAAGAACACTCCAGTAAATGTTTTAACTCCAGTAAATGCTTGCCTCTCATACTATGAACAAAGAATATTTCAGAAGTTAGATTGCACTGTATTTCTAAACTTCAATTAAAATTATTGTTAAAAGAGAAAGAATTGACAGAAGAGCTTATTTTCCTTGGAGACCTGTTCCAGTGGTAAATCCAGGGAATAGTAAATCTTTATAAAGTACTTACAATAACGGTCAACAACTATGTTGATAAGAAATTCTTGATCTGCACTTAATAGATTTACAGATTCAAGTCTCTCATTCGCCCTCCCCCTGAATTTCTGGATATGTATTATGTAGCTTTTTCCAATATCAACAAAACTGATTAGGACATTAGTATGGAAAGGAAATTGAGCACTTGAAAGTTCTGGCCAATTTTTGGTCATTGCAGCCTGCCCGAGTTCCTCCATAAGGGTAAAACACTGGATGCTTGCAATCTACAACTGGTGTAGACAGCCTTAGTTCTCCTGTGTGGAAAAGAAACTGGACACTTGCACGCTGCAGCTGATTTATGCACGCTGCAGCCAACTTCAGCTAAGTGATCAGCTCAAGCTTAAGTCGAGAACTATTTGTATTGCCTTTGGGTTTTCCTTTTTTCACAATTCTTTAAAGGTTTCAGTTAATAGTTTTGGGTAGCATGGTAAAGCAAAGATGTTTTAGAACTTTTAAGGTTCTGGTATCTTCTACTGCACAGATTCATACAATATTAAGCTTTCAAGGTGTTTCTGAAATTAAAGAACTTCAGTAATTTGCAGCTATAGATTCTGGATTTTTAAATATATGTTATGGTGCTTTTTTCTAATATAATTTTGAGAAAAATTTACTTTTCTATCAACAATATTTACCAAAAGATATTCCTGTTATTAAAACCAATTACTTTAATTTGATTGGTAGATTGCTTAATACAGTACTTGTTGGATATTTTTAACAAGGCTTTTCCTGCATGGTGGTCAATCGTTTTGATGCCAAAATCTGTTCTGTTTTCAAGAATGTTTTTTCTCTTTAGCTACAAGAGCCCAGTTCATCACAAAAAAAGTGAAATTTTTACACTATTATTACTTAATAGATTTTCTTTAATTTCTAATATAGAGGATTATATAATTGGAATTGATTTGAGTTCCTCTATATATGATTCTTACTTGTTCTCTTTCTGTTCTCTTTCTTGCTGTTCATCTTAATTAGTTTTTATTATCAAAATATGGTCAGTTAATCTGTTGTGATAATTTCTTTGTGCATATTTTCATATAAATTATTTTTGCTCACTTGTTTTATATCAAACATTTATTGATATCTTTTTAATACTTTACCCTCAATGATACAATTTGCTTTATTTTAATGAACAGAAGTTCTAGGCATAAGAATACATATATTTTTTTAACAAGCAAAAGAAAGAAAGCCTTTTCAGGTTGGAGATCCCCAGCTTAAATTTATTTTAAGATATTCTACATGTGGCTGTCTTTAAAGTTTACTCAAGAGCTGAAATAATCCAGGTCACAGCAGCATGGAAAGTTATGAGCATACCATAATATGATGATGTAATTGCTCTGCTTCATGTGTTGCACTGGTTACCCCTTAGGCTTTGGATTAAGTCAAGTGGTGGACTCTTGGTAGGAGTGATATATGGTGAGAGGATACTTGGTTTTATTCCTTGCAAATGGCTTTGTTCTTCCTGTTCATTTTGTTCTTAATATTGTCTGTCATCTAGAGTCACAATGGAGCTGGGTAGCCTTATGATATTAAAATTTAAAAATATAGTAAGATTAAAACAATGTTGATTTACCCAGGAAATTCATTATATTTACCTAGTGGTCATAAAACTCAATGTTTAATATCTTTTTGTGGAGATGGGAGTGCATTTGTTTTGTTTTTATATAATTTGTACTTTGTTATAGCTATATATTTGAACCGGAAGGAAATGCATGCAGTCTGACAGACAGCACAGCGGAAGAACACGTCCTGGCCTTGGTAGAGCACGCAGCAGATGAAGCACGAGATCGGATCAACCAGTGTCTACCAAATAGCAAGGTCTTGTTAAATTAATTCATATTTTGTTTGGCTAATTTTCTCAGGAATTTTTGCTCAGTTGGACAAGAATTTTTACATAGTATTTAGTACATGAATATTTTTGTATGGACTCTTTTTGTTAAATTTCTACAATACAGATTAAAAATTAATTAAATTTTAGACCTTGGTTTGAATATAAATGGAAATTAAATGACATATTCTTACTCTGTCTCGATGAATCTTAAAAGTTCAGCTATTTAACCTACATCTTAATGTTGCTTATGACAATGTAGTGTTGTCTACATTGACAAGAATATATCAAAGAGTATAACCCAACTAGAAGATTTGAAGTTAATATTTGATGAACAATATCAACTGACTGTGTCAATCTAAATGAATACATTGGATAATTCCATTTTTTTCTTTTATTTAGAGCATTTATTAATACAAATGCTCTGTTTTTAGAACAACACAGAAAATTGTATTTCAGTAGAATGTGTGAATTCAGTTTCATTGTATATGATATTTAAGAATGTAAATGTTCATATCCTATTCAAAAGGTGATTTATTAGATTGCATAGGCACAGTTTTTCTTCTAGTGACACATTCAACATCAGTTATTGGTAGTATCTGCTAACACAGCGGCTGTGGGGTAGGGGAGAAGGGAACCAGTCCATGCAAGTGGCGAGCTGGTGCATACACATACAAGCAGCTCAACTCACACAAACAGTGTACAGCCACTTACGCATGCATGCACAGCTTCATTAGGAGTTGAGCTGTGCACGTACATGCGCGCTAGCCAGACACGTGTGAGTGGAGTTGCACATGCATGTGCGCTGGCTGTCTGCTTGCACAAGTAGAGCTGCACACATGTGTGTGCCCTGGCCTACCTCTCGTGTGATCCAGTTCTGAATAAGCCATGGCCTGGGAATTGGGGACTCCTGTGCTAATAGATCTGTTAGTATCTGTTAATATTTACTGCTTAAACAGGAAACATTAAAAAACAATCCTGATTTTCCTTTTGTTATTACTTAAATACAGATAGGTTACCTGAAAAAGAATAATGATGGATCTTTGATCTTCAGTGTACTCAATCCATCAGATCCTGAAACAGAAGGTAATTTTCAGATAATTTTAGTAGTTTATATTTTTAAACATTTTTAATTTTGCGTAATTAAGTTTGTGATTGTACTTTATTTACAAAAAGAAAATGTATAATGTTTTCATCTTTATTTAATAGACATAGGTAATTCCATTTGAATATTAAATATGCTGCTGTATCAGAATAGGCAACAAAAAGATTTGCAAACAGATACATTTGGTGAGCTAATATTTGAAGGCTTTTGGCTAATGTTCTGGTAAGGTCAGAATTAAGTTACATTTGTGATAAAATATAAATTTACAAGTAACCCTATATGAACAAAGATTCTGAGCTCTAGCTCAAGTACCATCAATATTTATTTATTCATTCATTCATTATTCGTTCATTTATTCATTTTTCAGTTTTGCACTGCCTATCTCCCTCAGGTTGCTTATTATGCAACCATTTTAACCTAATTAGTTAAAATCTGTTCAGTTCCTCCTTAAGCTGAATTTGTGTAGAAGATTATTAAGCCTGGCAATAGTATTAAATCTGTGTTGTATTCAATCTGAGATAGATAATTAGTCTCCAATCTATTTTTCTTCTGCATCGCCTTTAAATCATGTTATTGTACTGATGTAGCACCATCTCAGTATTATTGCATAAAAATGCTACATTTTAAAGCAAAAATGCATGGCCATGCAAAGCAATATACCACTAGTCCGTGATGACTAAGTTGGGACAAGTATTTCCATTACTAAGCAATGCTGTCATAAAGTAAGATGTCACGCTACCACATTGCAATGCTGTCATTAACTAAATATTGTGGGTTGTTAACGGGTGGGATTCTACCAGTTCTGTAGAACCAGTTGTTACTATTCTGAGCAGTTCAGAGAACCAGCAAATTGTGCCCCTGGCTGGCCCCGCCCCTTTCCGCCTGCCCCTGCCCAGTCAGTCCTTATCACGCATGTGCCACTCCCACCTAGCCACAGCCACAGAACCGGTAGTAAAATATTTGCATCCCACCCCTGGTTGTTAAGTGAGTATCCACCCCAATCTAAGCCTTTCCAAGGTTTTATCCCTCCTAGCCCCAAGCCTCAGTAAGGTTTCCAAATCCCTCCATCCGCCTATTCTCTCCTCGTTTCTTATGGAACAGTAAACAACCCCCGAAGTTTCATCTCTGGTACTGTTTGCCATGCCCCAAGAAACTACAGCTGCCTAAATCAGTCTCAGCCACAGCTACCCTTGCCGCTTTGCACTCCACTGCCTCAAATGTTTTTCAACATCTTCTTGCTCCTTCTGTTGATGGGGTGTGCCTGGCCTGGTTGCGAGGCTGGGCTTTGGCTGGGAAAAAAAGTGGCTCCAAAGTCATTGCTCTAAGACATTCCTTTGTAAAACATTCCTAAAATGCTGCTTTGCAAAAACTCCCAGAAAAGAGCACCCCAAAAAAGCCCTACTCTGGGAACTCTTCGTAATGAATTTCTTTTTTTTTCATTTTGGATGTGAAGCCTAGCCCCCACCAAGAGGTGTTTTTTTTTTTTTTTGCAAAGGGACTATTTTAGGCTTTCCCTCCATTTTTCTTGCACAAAGTCAGCCCCAGACTAGCCAAGGAGAACTATTGAAAGGGGGCTTTGGCATGTCTTCAAAAGACAGACCCTGCCCAAAACCCATCCCCAACCCATCCTAGCAGCCAGGATTCATGTATACTTTCTCAATAGGGTGAAAGAAGGTGAAAGAAAAGGCAAAAAGAAGGTGTAAGTCACTTGGGGTGGCCTCCTTAAATAAAGCATACTTCTAAAATTAATTGGAACTATCATTTGAAGTTGTTACATAAATCTTTAATTTTATTTTTCATTTTCTTGGGAAATTCTGAATTATGGCTTGTATTTCAACATTTATTGATTAACCCAACAATTTCACTTATTATATGTCAAGCTCTTTCATGTTTGTATTGCAAATATATTTTAATAAGTATATTCAATGAAATTTCGTATTTTACATGCTCAATTTCCTGATTCATTTATTTAATAATGTCAGAATTAACTTGTTCATTAATTTTCTTGCATCAATTTTCTCACAGTTAATGCAATGTATTTGTCTCCTCCTTTTAGTAAAATAAATAAATTCTTTAGAGAACAGTTTCTAAAGTTTATACCGGTCAGTTCTGCAAAGAAGGAGGAAGTCAAAAATCAAATACTTACGTATAGTGTTTTTAGGAGTGTTTTCTTTTTTTACATTTATAAATAATAGTATAGTGAAGATTTTGAACAAAAATGTATGCTTCCTTTTCAATTCAGTGTATACTGCTTGATATAAGTAATGTTTTATTGAGCATTAATTGTAAAATTTCTGTCATTATTGTCCATTTATAGAACTTTTTTTGAAAATACACCTCTGTTATAATTTAAAAAACATAATTCCTATTTTCTTTTATTCTTGTTTATTTTATTTTGTTTATTATCTAATTTGTGTAGCTCAGTTGTTCTTTACTAAGTTTTTAAAACAAACTGATACTGTTTTAAAATATTGATAATTTCTGAATAACCTTTTTAATAATTTCAAGCAAAACTTCTTAAACTCTATGATAGTATTGTAAGAGTATCCTCCTGTCTATTAGTTTTGAAAATATACCTCCATTATAATTTTTAAAAAGATAACTGAAAAAAAGAATTCTTTCTGCTTATTTGAATAACCTAATATTATTTTTTTATTTTTGTTCACTATCTAGTTTATCTTTCCTGCAGCTCATTTGTTTTTTACTGTCACATTAAAACAAACTGATACTGTTTTAAAATATTAACAGTTTCAGAATATCCTTTTTAGTAATTTCAGGCAGAAGTTCTTATATATTCGATATTTTAGATATTTTATTTAAAAAATCCTCCTGTCTATTATTTTTGAAAACTTAATAAACATTTATGTATATGTTTATTGTTGAAAATAGAGGAGGAAAGCCATCCAGTGGATCTGAGCTCTCTATCTAGCAAATTATTACCGGGTTTTACAGCATTAGGCTTTAAAGATGAAAGAAGGCACAAAGGTAAGTTTTGTGATGCAAAGAATATTTATATTTATAAGATTAAGCATTTGTCTTCATATTTTCATTTAATTTTGAATATTTTTAGAATGTAATTACTAGATATTCAGTGACTCAAGCAGTATGGTTCTGTAGGTCTCATTGAAATATAAATGATTAATTTCATTTGGATGTAGATACCACAATGCAAGCTTTTCTCAAGCATACAAGTTCTTTGTGGTATTCATAGCTAACTTAAACACCAAAGAAGGCTTATCTGCAACTCCTCGCTGAACTGGAGACTTATTTCAGTGGCATAGTCAGGATTCTGTCCTTGGCTCAGAACCCTTCAATTTAAAATATTTAAGTCATTTTTAAATATGTTTTTGTCATTTTTTTATATATAATAAGAATGCCAAACAACAATATTTATTTAAAAAAATCAACAAGAAAAGTTTGAATACAATTAAAACAGGCATCACAGTACAATTAAATAATTTTAAATCTTTATCAAATGTGAAAAAACAAGAATGGAAACTGGCTGAATCTGTGAAGGTTGTGTGCTGATGATTTATTAATTTGTGTTATTAGTTGTAGTGTGAAAAAAAGAGGAAAAGTATTTTTACTATCTCTAAAGACTTTATTATTTTTAAAGTGCATAAAGTTGGAGTTGGAAGCCCGGGTGGACACGGCAACTATCTTCAAGGAGATTGCTTTGTTGGAAAATTGAGGCTATTGCCATAGGCATCATACAGATGAATAATTGAGCAGTTCTGACTTTAGAATGGAGGAGTTCTGACTTTTGGAAGGCCAGCAAGGGTAGTTAGAATTCTTGCTACAATATTGCTCAATTAGACCATTAGAGAATAGAGATGGAGTTTCTAATTAATTTGATTCTTGTGTGGTACGTGCAGACAAGGTTTATGCCAGACAAGCTGAATATGTAGGAGGAGGAGGAGCAAAGAGTGGTCTTGGCCTTATTTTTTTAGACAGAAGAGAATGTTGGAGAACAAACAGAGAATAATCAGGGAAAGAAGAAGAAAATAACAAAGTTACTGACTATTTGTGTGAGTCACAGAATTGGGAAAGTGGAACTCCTCCCTGGAATGGGAAATCAGGGAACAAGATCTTTTACTTCATTCTGACCCAGCTGGCAGAAGGCTTGCTGGAGACATCAAGTGGAGAGTAAGGGGAGAAGAATGTTTTAGGAATGTAGGAAATTACGGTAAATTTGGTACAGCTGTCACATGAAGATTTTTGATATTGTGATTTGTTTGCACTTGGTGTGGATTTTTTTCCATACGGTTGGAGTAACTGGGAGTGCATGGGAGTGGGATGACCAGGAGGTAAATGTCAGACAGAGTCAAAGTAAAGACAGAGAGGCACTTAATGTTAGTAATGGGAAGGGGAAAGTATTCTGGGAGTTGGTAGATGGCCACATTCCAAAAGAAAAGAGATTACAAACTTGGCTTCACTCTTTACTTCTGATCCTATAAATTTATGGGCTCAGTGACTCAGGCCTACACTTTTGTATACAAGATCTGCTTGTAATAAAATTATCATTATCTATTATTTAATGTTTAGTTGTGGATGAGAGGCCCAATCTGGCATATGTCAGTAAGACTTGGCTGGTCAAAGAGCTAGGAATCTCTTGCACTGAAATCCATCCAGACAATTTCCATATCTTGCATTAGTTCTACACCTGGAGCAGAGAGATGATATGGCATTGTATGGGGAAACTTTGGCTGTTGTGAAGAACTATAACCAGATGTGAGGCCATATTTGTGAGTCTGAGCCAGAAGAACAAACAGGGGTGCTGCTCTTATATCTTTTCACATATTGGTAACAGTATCCCCTTCTGAGTTGTTCAGTCCCATTGTTGGAATAGTTATGGATTCAATCAGGACACTGCAATTTTATCCTGTCCTGTCTGAGGCCACAGATAACTTGGAAATTGATGGCTACCATGATAGCTGTGGCTTTGTCTTAGATTATTGCCAAATCACATAATTGGATAGATTGTGTCCCTGTGATCTCTCCTCATCCGTAGACCTCTGTCCTCAGTGATATACAAAGAAACTAAGAGGGATGAAGAGACATCTAGAACGCCCCTGGCGGAAGTCAAGGGAGAACTCAATTGAACACGGGAACAGTTGCTATTAAGGCCTACCTCATGGTGATTCATGCGGTGAAGTGTAAATAGTTTTCCACATTAATTGCTTCTGCAGGTAATCAACCAGTAACCCTATTTAAGGTGAGCCATCTCCTCCTGGGGAAAGAGGAAACCGAGTCCACTTTAAGGGGCGCGCTGAGGAATTTGCAGATTTTCTGGAAGACAGAATCACTCAACTTCATTCCCAGTTAGATGTCAGTATGGTTGCTGATCTGGTAGAGGCCCCTGAAGCAGATTTTTGCTCTGTTTGGGAACAGTTTGACCCTGTTGCTCCTGAGGAAGTGGACAGGATCCTAGGGAGTATCCATTCAAGTACCTATGTTTTAGACTCATGTCCCTCCTGACTTGTGAAAGCTTCCCAGGAAGTGACAGGCGGCTGGGCTATGGTGCTGATTAATGCGTCCTTACAGGAAGGGGTAGTCCCCTCAGCACTTTAAGGAGTTGTGATCTGTCCTCTTCTCAAGAAGGTGTCCCTAGATTCCACCCTGTTGGATAATTTTCGGTCTGTCACTAATTTTCCCTTTTGGGGAAAGGTTGTTGAGAAGATAGTTGTGCAAGAAGATGTATGAAATGGATTGTCTATACCCCTACCAATCAGGATTCAGGTCAGGATGTGAGACAAAAATGGCATTTTAATGAGCTCTAGCGGGAATGAGATGGGGTAGTGTATCCATCCTTGCTCTAATTGACTTCTCAGCAGCTTTCTGTACCATTGACCATGGTATCCTGCTGCAGCAGCTTTTTTGATGGTGGTGGGGGCTCTGTGCTATCCTGGTTCACTTCCTTCCTCTGTGGCTGCTCTTGGTCAGTGTTAATAGGAAGCGAGAGATCCAGCCCTTGCCCACTACTTTGTGGGCTCCCTCAGGGCTCAGTACTCTCTCTGCTCTTGTTCAACACCTACATGCAGCTGTAAGGTAAGATCGTTTGTTACCATGGACTAAGATATCATCAGTGTGCTGATGATATTCAGCTGTATATCTCAGTCTTTAGTGAGTTAAGCAAGGCTGTGACCTCTCTCTAACCGTGCTTGGAGGCCGCCAAGGCTGGATGGGGAGCAATGGGTTGAAACTGAAGCCTGGCAAGATCAAGTGGCTCTGGGTTTGTGATTCTTTTGTCCATGGAGAATTGCCACTTTTGATATTGGGTGAGGTGGCACTGCCCCAAACAGATCCTGCCCCATGTGTAATCTGGCGGTGCTCCTGGACTCATGACTCCTGCTCAAAGAGCAGATGGGTATCATGCGAGGAGGATCTTTGTGCAACTGCAGGTTGTGTGCCAGTTACACCCTTTCTCAAACCCTATTCACAATCACTCATGCCCTAGTCACCTCCCGTCTTGACTATTGCTCTATATGTGTGTTGTCACCAGAGTGGGGTGGTGGGGTTATTGTTTTATTATTGTTTTATTATTATTTCTTTTACTTTTATGCTTTTATGTTTTGTAAGCTGCCTTGAGTTGCCACGTACAAGTTGGCAGCAATATAAATAATAATAAAAAAGAAGCCATGCATTAGATCTGATCTTTACCATGGAGCATATAAATATAATCTGGTTCTGGGGAACATTTATATTAGCTCCTTGTCATGGAAAAATGTTAGTATTAATTGAATCTGAGGCCAATTAAGGTGACTCTTGCAAATGTATAATAGATCCATAAGGATTTTAGACGATGCTTAGGACTTACCTAGCAATCTGCAAGGCATTTCTACTAAATATACTGAAATTCAGCAATCACTAGTCTGCCAGATAGCATTGCTCCTGAATGATGTCTCCCTTCATGTTGATCCTAACCAGCTCCTTGATTTTCTGAGATGCTCCAGAAAATGCTGTGGGTAAAAAACATACTTGAAGTAACTCCTGATGAAAACATTAAATGAATATAATAAATACTTCAACTTTACTATATTGGATAAAGCTGTCAAAGAGGAAGAATTTACCCCTTTTGCATCTGTGGAATCTCAGCAGTGTCCTGAATCTTTTATAAAATGAAGAACAGTTTTGTGTAAATTGCAATTATACAAATTGTAGGCATACATTTACTTATATTTGATTTTTAATTTATGATTGACCTCACATGTACCCAACAGAGTTAGCCAAAGGGCCAGATGTGGTCAGGGGTTGTATCGGGATTCTCAATATAAATGGGTAGATAGGACAAAGAAAGGCTAAACTTGGTTGAGAATTCACTTTCCTGCTTCTCGAGGCTGGCTGCTGTTTATTGCCTTGACTTTGATTTATAATGAGTGTCTTTAGACTATCTGAGCTTTGCAGGACATCAAAGATCAAAGTCCTTCTTCAAAAGGATTCCACTGAAAATATCAACAAAGATATGGGATAAAAATATAGAGATTGGCATTGAAATAAGAGAAGGCACTTTATAGGATGGTTTATGAACAATGCTTAGATGATAACTCCAAAAGATTCTCGTGTTTTCTGTCTTATTTGTTCACCACACTTTTTATTCTTTGTTAAGGTTGCACAAATTGATTTATAATTTTAGGAATCACACTACCACAGTAAACCCAAGGTATAACCAGTTATTTACTGTAAAATATGTGAAGCCTAAGAGTTATAGCTCTTTTTGCAGAGTATTTCAAACACATATTTTATATTTTCAGTTACATTTCTTTCAAGTGCTAATACAGTGGTTTCAATGCAAAACCACTCTATCTTTCATGATCTGAAAATGGATGAAATGGAGCTGCTGTATTCATCATATGGAGATGAGACTGGGATTCAGTGTGCTTTAAGGTAAGATTGTTGAACTGCAATATTGAACCCCTAATCTTAAACAGTGTTGGCAATATAATGACTTTGGCATATGAAGGAGCCCAATTCATTTAGAAGCTAGTATAAATAACAAAGAGAATAGTTATAAAAATAGCCAAGGAACATAGTCAAAAGCAAAATATGAATGCATCTGATATTTGTTTTACACTGGAATTTCTTTTAGTCTTCAAGAATTTGTGAAAGATTCTGGAAGCTATAGTAAAAAAATAGTAGATGATTTGCTGGATCAGATCACTGGTGGAGATCATTCCAAGTCTATTTATCAACTAAAACAGGTAAGTGTTCTCAACAGACTTTCCTATCAAAGCGTACTTTATAATACAGAGTTGAAGTTTTTGAGGTTATAGCTGAAATTATTCTTAAAACCAGCTTTTTTATTGAAACAATAAATTATCCACATAATCTAAATGCACTATAGCTAAATTACAACTAAAACCTCTATAAAGTCATTTTTTAAAATCAAAACTATTATATTAGACATAGTCATAAAAGTATCCTTTTCATCACAAAGGTAGTTTAAAGGTCTAGGAGTACTTCTTCCTTTTTCTTTTTTCTTTTTTTTTTGTGCATAGATAAATTTTTAGAGTGTACTATGCCGGGCATAGAAGATACAGTGGATGTAGAAACTCTACAGCATCCCTGTTAAAATCAGGTTTTTGAGATGTAAAAAAAAATCAGACCAAGATAAATTACTTCAAATTTTTCCCTGCTTTTAATAGAATAGAACAGAATAACAGAGTTAGCCAAAGGGCCAGATGTGGTCAGGGATTGTATCGGGATTCTCAATATAAACAGGTAGATAGGTCTTGTAGTCCAACCCTTTGCTCAAGTAGAAGACTTTATACCATTCCAGACAGGTGACTGTCCAATCTTTTCTTAGAAGTCTCCAGTAATGGAGCACCCACAACTTCTGAAAGGAAGCCAATTCACTGATTAACTGTTCTCACTGTTAAGAAATTTCTCCTTAGATCTAGGTTGCTTCTCTCCTTGATTAGTTTCCATCCATTATTTCTTGTCTTGCCTTCCGGTGCTTTGGTAAATAGGTTGATCCCCTCTTCTTTGTGATAGCCCCTCAAATATTGGAACATTCCTAGTATGTCACCCCTAGTCCTTCTTTTCACTACACTAACCAAATGTACAATTTATGTTATCCAATAATATATATTAATCATATATTAATATATTAATAGCAACAACATAAAAATATATTAATATATGATTAATATATATTATTGGATAACATAAATTGCACATTTTATTTGAAAAAGAAACTGAAATTTTCAAGGGGGGGTGTTGGGTATATTGATACACCAACTAGGTTTGGGTGAATAAATA